TTTTAGTTTTCGGCGGACACAACATCTTTGTTTGTATATGGTGCTGAGGATCGAACCCGGGCCGCACGCATGCCAGGCGAGCGCGCTACCGCTTGAGCCACATCCCCAGCCCTCCTTTTCTTTTTTAAAATTTTAAACTGATTTTTTAAAGAATAAGTGACAGTGAAATGCATTACAATACTTATTACACATATGCAGCACAGTTTTTCATATCTCTGGTTGTATATAAATTATGTTTCCAGTCTTTTTTTTTTTTTAAAGTTTTAATGTTGAGACAATATCTTGCTAAGATACCAACTAGCTATCCCTACACCATTCATTCAAAATTCCATTTTCGCCCCTTTCATCACATTCTAGGTTTTTATGTGTACTTGAGTATGTTTATGGACACATTGTTCAGTTATTTTGTGAGCCAGTAACACATTTGGGGGACGTTGCTGAGGATAGAACCCAGGGCCTCACCCATGTGAGGCAAATAAATGCTCTACTACTGAGCTTTGCTTTAGCCTCCAGGTTATTATAACTGGAGAGGCTTTAGAATRTGTTGGGTGTCTAGTAGGGCTCATCTCTCTTGCTTATTCTTTTCCAGTGTTTTCCTGGCAATTCTTTCAGGTTTGGTTTTCCACATGAATTTAGTATCAACTTCTCTAGTTCCATTAAAAAAGCATATTGACATATGTTACATTTATAAACTAATTTAGGGCGAACTGACATCCTTTTGATCTTCAGTCATACCTATCCAAGGGTAAGAAATGTCTTTCCATTTGTTCAAGTCTGCTGTTGTCTTTCTTGAGTGCTGCAGTGCATTCCCTTGTTTTTTTTTTTTCCCTCCTTGGTAACTTTTACATATTTGTGTTTTCTCCCTTATTTTTCTTGAGTAAATTAGCTAGTGGTTWGCTAGTTTTGCAAAAACAAATAAATAACACCTAGGAATTTGACTTGTTCCATAATTAGGCCTATTGTTTTTCTTTTCTTTTCCATGAGTCTATCATTTGTCTATTCAGTAATATTTTTTAAAGATTATTTWAAAAAATATTTAAAAAATTTTTTTAGATGAATGGACCTTTGTTTTACTCATTTATTTGTAAGTAGTGTTGAGAATTGAACCCAGTGCTTCACACATGCTAAGCAAGCCTTCTACCACTGAACCACAGCCTCAGCCCCTTTAAAGAGTATTTAAATTTTTTTTTTTTTTTTTTTAGTTATTGAAAAACCTTTATTTTCTTATTTATATGTGGTGCTGGGAATTGAACGCAATGCCTCACACGCACAAGGCAAGCACTCTACGGCCAAGCTACAATTCTAGCCCCTATTTGGTAATATTTTAAATTTTTTATCTCCTGTGCTTTCTTCTGGTTTACTTTGTTGTTTTCTTTCTGACTTTTTGAACTGACAATGTGGTTTATAAATTTTTGTTTCTTATTTGGTCACCCCACCCCTCTTTTTTAAATTTTGAGAAAGGGTTTTGCTAAATTGTTGAGGTTGGCTGAAATTTCTGATCCTCCTGCCTCAGCCACCTGAGTAGCTGATTCCTGGCATATGCCACCATGCCTGGCTGGTTTATTTATTTTTTATCTTCCATATCTATTGATTAGGGCCACTGTTTAAAAAAATTCAGTAAATTGTTTGTATTCCCTTTTCACCCAAGAGTTGTTTAAAGGTGGTGGTTTTTAAATTTCAGGATGGGAGCCAGATGTGGTAGCATAGGACTATAATCCTAGTGGCTTGGGAGGCTGAGGCAGAATTTCCTGAGACCATCTCTCAAAAAGTAAAAAGGAACTGGGAGATAGCTCAATGGTGGACACACCTGGGTTCAATCCTCAGAACAGTAAAATAAAATAAACATAAATTTCAAGATGAGAMGATCCTTCTGTATTTTGATTTTGCTAATAATTTTTAGTTTTACTTCATTGTGGYAAGAGAGTATTGTTTGTAATAATTCTACTTTTTGAAACTTAATTTTTGAGAGAATGATGTTTGATCCATTTCTGTATATGATACATATGTGCTTGAGAAGTGTGTCCTCTATTATCCATGTGTAGGTTTGATATAATATCCACTAATGTATCTTACTTCTTTAAAAAAAATTTTTTTTTGAATTGGGGATTAAACCCAGGGGCACTTAACCACAGCCCTTTTTATATTTTATTTAGAGACAGGGTCTCACTGAATGGTTAGGGCCTCACTAAATTGCTGAGGTTAACCTTGAACTCCTGTCTCAGCCTCCCAAGCTACTGTCTTTTTTTTTAGTTGTAAATGGACACAATACCTTCATTTTATTTATTTATTTTTATGAGGTACTGAGAATCCAACCTAGGGCCTCACCCATGCTAGCAAGCTCTTTACCATTGAGCCACAACCCCAGCCCTTATTACTTCTTTTTAGGTAATTTATGGCCTTACTTAAATTCACTCAATCTCTTTTGTACCATTTGCTGTATTAAMATCCCTTATTGTAGCTGGGCTTGTAGATCAGTGGTTGAATGTGAGTTTAACATGACCAAGACTCTGGGTTTGATCCCTAGCACTATAGAAAATTTATTTGCTATTATTATTATTTTATATATATTTTTTAGTTGTCAATGGATCTTTAGTTTTTTTTATTTATATGTGGTGCTGAGAATTGAACCCAGTGCCTCACACATGCTCAGCAAGTGATCTCTACCACTGAGCCACAACCCCAGCCCCCCAAATTTATTTAATTTTTTGAAAAATTTTTTAGTTATACATGGACACAATATCTTATTTTGTTTATTTTTATGTGGTGCTGAGGATTAAACCCAAGGTCTCTCACATGCGAGGCGAGTGCTGTACCAGAGCCATAACCCCAGCCCCCAAAATTTATTATTAATGTATTTCTGTCTGCCACTTTTACATATGCTATAGTTTTTATTTTATAAATGTGGTTTCTTTATCATTTGGTGCAGATATATATAACTGTTACTTATTCATTTTGATTGTAGCTTTTAACATTATTCTTTAAATTATTTTCAGTTTCAAGATCACTGTTCCTGCTTTTCTTTTTAAAGAATTTAACCTTTATTTGTTTTTATGTGGTGCTGAGAATCAAACCCAAGGCCTCACCCATGCTAGGCAAGCTCTTTACCACTGAGCTACAACCCCAGCCCACTTGCTTTTTTTTGATAACTCTTTGCCTAACCCTTTACTTTTAACCTCTATGAATTGTTGTTTTAGATGTGTCTCATAAATAGCGGATTCTTACTTTATAAGCCAAATTAAAACTTTAATAGGTGAGTTAAGTCCATTCATTTTTGTTGATGTGATTGATAGGGTCAGTATTAATTCATTATTTTAGAATTATTATGTATATTTCATGTGATGTGTTTTTTAAAAAAATATTTATATTTTAGTTGTAGTTGGACACAATACCTTTATTTATTTTTATGTGGTACTGAGGATTGAACCCAAGGCCTCRCATTTGCTAGGCAAGCGCTCTACCGCTGAGCCACAACCCCAGGCCATGATGTGTGAGCTTTGCATTTGAAAGTTTTATATATTTAGGAAAAGTTTAAACTGGGTTCAGTGTGGCACATGCCTGTAATCCCAGCAGTTTCTGGAGGCTGAGGCAGGAGCATCTCAAGTTCAAAGCCAGCCTCAGCAAATGGTGTTAAGCAACTCAGTGACACCCTGTCTCTAAATACAATACAAAATAGGTCAGGGGATGTGGCTCAGTGGTTGAGTGCCTCCAAGTTCAATCCCTGGTACAAAAAAAAAAAAAAAAAAAAAATTTACATTTTGCTCTGGTGATAGTCTTTGGGATCCCACCGTTTCAAACTGCCCTAATTCCTTTTCTTTTCTTTTGGTTGTGGTTATTGAACTCAGAAGGTGCTCTTCTACTGAGCTACATCCCAGCCCTTTTTATTTTTCATTTTGAGACAGGGTTTTGCTAAGTTGCTGAAGCTGGCCTTGAGTTTGGGGTCCTTCTGCCTCAACTTCCCCAGTCACTGGGATTACAGGAGTATGCCACCATGTCTGACTTATTTATTTATTTATTTTTGGATGGGATGTTGCTCYGTTATCCAGGCTGGGCTCAAGCCATCCTTTCTTGCTTCCTCCTCGTGAAGCTCCTGAGAGGCTGGGAGTACAGCTGTAGAATACCATGTTTGTCTTTGTTTTCTTAAATTTTCAATTATGCCTTTAAATTCCATCTGCTGGCTGTACGGAAATCAATGAGCTTATTTTCCTTTCCTCTCATAATTTTAGTTGTACTATTTCTACTTGTTAGAATAGTTAATTAATTATCCTATTGAAGAATCCCACTCAGATCTTTTTTTTCTTTTTAATTTTATATGGACACAGTATCTTTGTTTTATTTATTCATTTTTTATGTGGTGCTGAGTATCGAACCCAGTCTTCTCGCATGCAAGGCAAGCACTCTACCACTGAGCTACAGCCCCAACCCATCCCACTCAGCTCTTGGTTGGAGGAAGCTTAGCCATCAGAAAATTCTTCAAGAAGGGTTGTGGGTGTCGAGTTTCCTGAGTCTATGCTTATAATAATTTTTTTTCATAGTCCTGGCATTAAAGGACAACTTTATTGTAACTAAAACCCAAAGTTAATATTCTTCTTTGAATTTTTTGGTACTGGGAATTGAACCCAGGGGTACTTAACCACTGAGCCACATTCAATTTATTCTTCATTTCTGTGAAATTTTCTTGGATTATTAATGAAATACTGTTTCTGTTCCATTGTTTTATTGTTCTCCCTTAGGAATTCAAATGCCTTCTTTTGGCTTGAGTTCCATTTCAGTTACTTTCTGCTTTTTATTTCTTCTCATTGTTTTGTCCATTTAGATTTTTTGGATTTCTGATTCAAGATTTTTTTTTACATGCACAAGTTTGAGGATATTTTATTCAGCTACAGTTTTGGAGTTGTATTCTGGGGAGAATTTTGTTGGCTCAGGTCTTTTTATTCTTTTTTTTTTTTTTTTTTTTTAGGTACCAGGGATGGAACTCAGGAGCACTCAACCACTGAGCTACATCCCCAGCCCTATTTTGTATTTTTATTAGAGACAGGGTCTTACTGAGTTGCTTAGCAAGCCTTACTAAATTGCTGAGGCTGGCTTTGAACTTGTGATCCTCCTGCCTTGGCCTCCTGAGCTGCTGGGATTACAGGCATGCGCCACCGTGCCTGTCAGGTCTTTGTATTGTTTTCACATAGCCTCTTTCTATGGTTCTATTTAGTTTACATCCAGTTATTTGTAGATTAAGGGTTATTTATAAAATTCCCCATTTGACTCCATCTGCATCTTCTATCAAGCAGCTATTTTCCATCTCATTCCTACATAAATTTCAGTATTTAGATATACAACTCAATATACTGAATTAATTTGAAATTTGGATGAGTGTTCTATTTATGTTGAAGGTGTGGTTTGTGTGTGTAGGCTGTGTCATGGTTGTTCATCTCATTCTGTGTTGTTTGTTGAAGATAGTGGGGAGTTTTGGATAAAGGGAACAGCTATAATCCTCGGCTACCTATAAGTCTAACTTCCTTATCATTCTCAGTTTGGTGTGTGTAGAGGAAGAATGGATTATAGGTGGACAGAGTAGAACTRGGGAAACTAGTATGGTTCAGGGGAGAGGTCCAGGAGTGGAAGTGGCGAGACATAGTTGGATTTGGGATATATGCTGAAGGTAGAGCCAGTGAGATTTGCTAAAGGACTGGATGTGTGCGGTAAGGAATTGAAGAGGTCAAGGATGAGCGCTGGAAGGGGACAAGGGATCCTCACAGGCTGTAGCCCTTGAATGTAGCCCTTGAATGGGAGTGGCTCCTGAGCCCTGCTGTTCTCTCTCTAGGTTATAAACCAGATGAAGGGAAGCGAGGAGATGCTTGTGAAGGTGACAGTGGGGGACCCTTTGTCATGAAGGTAAGCTTCTCTGAGGCCAGGGCTGGTGGGTAGGTTTCAAAGGAAGYGGGAGGGTTGGGTGAGGAGGGACACTACCTTGGATTTGACTATTGGAAACTTCGTCTTTCTTTCTCAGAGCCCCTTTAACAATCGCTGGTATCAAATGGGCATCGTCTCATGGGGTGAAGGCTGTGACCGGAATGGGAAATATGGCTTCTACACACACGTGTTCCGTCTGAAAAAGTGGATACAGAAGGTCATTGATAGGTTTGGATAAGGGGCCACTCACATTCTGGGCTCCTCACTGCAAAGTGACAGAAACCAATCCAGTGAAAGAATTATTTTTTTTCCCAATAAAAGTGACTCTGTCAATGAGTCTCAGTGCTCCCAGTGCTGTTCATGGGCAGCTTCCTGGACTTGGCTCAGAACAACCAGTAATACTACTGGTTACACAGGAAGACTTCAAAGAATCCACCATCTCCAGGACAGAGCCAGCTGAGAGGGGAGGTGGTAGGGTGAATATATAAGATTTTACAACATTCCACACCCAGAGCTTTAACAGATTGTCTTGATAATACTCATAAAATGTGGGTACTATCCAAACAAGAGGTAGGCAAGTGAACAGATTTGGAGAAGTAGCTTGTCCAGAGTTCCACATCTAAGAAAAATCAAAGTAGGAATTGAAACAAAGGTTGGTGAGGCCTGTGCTTTTTTTTTTTTTTTTAAAAGAGTGAGAGAGGAGAGAGAGAGAATTTTAATATTTATTTTTTAGTTATCGGCGGATACAATATCTTTGTTTTGTATGTGGTGCTGAGGATCGAACCCGGGCCGCACGCATGCCAGGCAAGCGCGCTACCGCTTGAGCCACATCCCCAGCCCCGAGGCCTGTGCTTTTGGTTGCTCTGCTCTAAACAGCTTGTCCTAACCCCAGAGGAGAGGCTGGGGGACAGGGACATAYGTAGATGCATCTGTCTTTACCTCAGACTTATCCTAGTAAGACCCTACATTCTTCCTCATGTCATTAAAATGGCAGATTTTTGCCAAGAGACTTGGTATTTAAAATGCCTTCATTTGATAGCAGTGCTCCTAGCATGACCTCTGGGTCAGATTTTGGCTCCAGCCTTGGATAGTACAACCATGGTTTAGTCCCTTGATCTGAGAAAATTTCTCAAATTTTAAAGGATGTACTTCTGTTCCCACTATTGCCTGGCAACTAGACTGGGTAGACATCCAGCCTGGCATGTTTGAAGTTTCTTTGCTGCTTACCTCCTCCCTTCTTTGATCCCCACAAATAGCCTATCAGGGGGACTGTGGCTTCCTGAAATTCACACACAGCAGTTAAAACAGATTAGAGCAATTTGTTTTCCCAGGAAATAGAGCCTAGGGGTTGTTTAAGTGGATTTGTAAAAGGTTTGGATAAATTTAAAAATCACGAATGATAGACTTTATTGTTTTTATTTATTTATTTTTGGTAGCCGGGATTAAAACTAGGGGTATTAACCACTAAGTCACATCTCCAGCCCTTTGTACTTTTTATTTAGAGTTAGGGCTTCACTAAATTACTCAGAGCCTCACTAAATTGCTGAGGCTGGCTTTGAATTTGCAGTCCTCCTGCCTCAGCCTCCAGAGCCACTGGGATTACAGGTGTGCGCCACTGCGCCCAGCTATGAAAGGACTTTAAAGATGCCCTTTCATAGCACATTCTTCAAGGTTATTGTTCATCCATTGATATTGGCTGAAGGGCTGTGTTGAGAGGTCACATCCCTGAGCTATAGGGAGTAAAACTTATTATCTATCTGCTTCAGGTATAGGATAGGGGAGTAGAGTATGGATGCCATGTGGTTCTCATTTTTGGCTTGGAATCTTCACTAACATGCATGGCTTTAAAGCAAGAAAGACTCTGAAGTAGTATCTTTAACCACAACCCCTCATCCTTTTTCATTTTTCCATACATAAGGGAACAGAGAATTAGGACAGAGTTCCTTTCTCTCATTCTTTGGTTCTTGTTGACCAGAAAGCAGGGTAAACTGGGCACAGTGGTGCACACTTGTGCACTAGCTACTCAGGAGGCTAAGGTTGGGGGATTGAGAGTTTGAGGCCAACATGGGCAACCCAAAACCTGCTTTTTTAAACAAAGACACATCTCACCAACATCACTGTCTGTTGTAAGCTCTGGGCACCTGGGGTTTCAAATTAGTTGTGCTAATTCCAGACCAAAGTGCAGGCACTTTCCAATTATGCTCTTTTACAATAGCAATTAACTCCATTTTCCCTGCTGCGAACACTTACCCACTTCAATGCTTGTCCTATAAGGGAGAAAAACAAGGTTAATTTCAGGCAGACTAGGGACCACTTGTAGATGATGATTGGAAGTAACAGGGAATTCATTTAATAGAATAATCAAGAGTGGATTCAGTTTCCATCAGCCATTTTTTTTTTTGTACTGGAAATTAAACCCAGGGGTGCTTTACCCCTGAGTTACATCAGTTACATCTCCAACCCTTTTAATTTTTTGAGACAGGTTCTTACAAAGTTGCTGAGGCTGGCTTTGAACTTGCAATCCTTGTATCTCAGCCTCCCAAATTGCTGGGATTATAGACTTGTGYGGCCACAACTGGCTAGTCTTTCAGTTTTTGAATACCAGATGTGTAGAAGGTGGGCTAGGAGAGCTTCCCAATTGCTTTAAGTCTCCCCCTGATCAAGAATCTTAGTCCTGAAGAGTCTTTGTCACCATGGAGGGAGGTTCTGTGGAATTTATTCCAGACTTGACTCCTGAGTTTACTTCTTGTTCCTCACTCATACTCATTGCAAAGCAACTGTTAGTCTGAACCAAGAGCTCAGATAACAGGAAATGACCAAGCTCTCCCCAACTCCATTAGTCCAATGAACCTAAATCCAGTTGTGGAGTTGGAATCAGTGGAGTTGGAATCACTATAGTCCAGCCAATACCTGAGCACAGTCTCATCTGTATTTGGGCAGCAAAGAAAGTGGTAGGATGGAAAAGCTCCTTGGAACTACTGGAGATGACTGAAGGAAAGTCATCACCAAGACCTCAAGATAGGGAAGGATGGAGACTTCCCTGCTCCCCTATGTGGAAAGAAGGAAAGGCAAGTCCTCCTGCCCACAGGAGTAACAGACAGCCCCAGTATGAACTCAACAGGCAGCAATGAACCTTTTTCCAACTGGCTATTTACCCAGCTGATCCCCAAAAGGTGACAGAGCTGCCCTGCACTCCCAGATATGGAGCATCTTGGGAGACAGGTATAGTTAATGCAAACTTTATTTATAAAAGACTCTTAAATTAGTTGTTGTCTCATGCCATGCATTCATACAGAATACAGTGACCCTTCAGGGCTACAGGGAAAAGAGCTCACAAACTCAAAACTATTAAAGAAGTTCTAATAGTTAAAAGCTAGGAAAGATTAGGACAATTTTACAAATGAGCAATTAAAAATAAAACAAAAGAAAAAGGATATGGAATCTAGTCTGAGCTGAGTGGAGCAGCTGTTTACAAGTCTGTACACTAACCTAATCCACAGACAGTCTTCTAGAGGCGGGTGTCGATGGAGAGAAGCGGGGCACGTACAGACTTGTGCAACAGCTATTCCTCCCCCCCGCTGCGGTCTGATACATACAACCAGTTTGTGTACACTAGGCCTGCCAAGGCCACTTCACACTATGAGGACTTCTAGTTTAGTAAACTAAAGCTGCAGGGTGCAGGGGGATGGGCAGCTTTATTTGCGACTGCTCTTTATTCTCTCCAGTCTTTTTTTCAAGTCGTCAATGTTAGTTGTGGAGGACGAGGAGGAGGTCAAAGTTCCTGCAGAGTGGGTCTGGTTAGAATCCAGGTCTGAATGCTGGTGCTGCTCCCGTGATTCCCGCAGCTGAGAGAGCTTGCTGTGGAGCATGTCTGTGGAAGAGGCGACTGGAGGAATTGCTGGTTTGGAGAGCAAAGAGGTCAGTGGAGGTCTGTCATCTTGCTGTTGAGAGAAGAAGAGACACTGTTTAAAACTGGGGAAAGCATGACAAAGGAAAAGATGCAGTTCTGGAACCACGTACACCAGGATGGAGCCACTTCTCTGTGGGGTAGCCTATCCCCAAACCATGTAACTGCTCTCCCTGACCCACAGTAGGAAAGGAGCAGTACCTTTGTGTTGTCCAGACCACATCGCTGTCGGAGGATTTTTAGCCTTTCCAGGTAGACAGATGGACCCACTTCTTCTCCATTTGTGTTACCTATGGAGGACACTGTGCTTGTGGGAGTGGGCACACATGTGACCTCCATCTGAGGGGAGATGCCTAAAGAGGAAAATGTAGAAGGAACATTCAAATATATACATACACCGCTTGGAGACTACTTTGGTCAATCTGTCACCAAAGAGAACAATTAAGAGTTTCTAGGGTTGGGGGTGTAGCTCATTGGTGGAACTTGTGTCAGCATGTACAAGGTTCTGGGTTTGGTCCCTAGTACCTAAAAGCAAATACCAAAAATTTCCATGGGTTTCAATTTTGCCACTGTACTTGAAAACTAAAAAATCCACAAGGATTCACCTGGATGAACTGGGTTCAATCCTCAGCACCACATAAAAATAGATACATAAATAAAGTGTCCATCTACAACTAAAAAAATAATTTATATATATATATATATATATATTTTCAGGCGAACTTCAAGGTTCTCAGATACAGAAAGGAAGAATGTACGTAAGTTAGATTGTCTGTATACAACCTGGTTATGCAAGCAGTTGCTATTCTAGTACTCCCAGGGCTAACTTGGACAATCCAAATAAAACAAACTATTCCTGAGTATACTGTAATTACCCAACTGAAAAACCTGAGGACCTTCAAATGTGTGGAAGAATCAGATTAGGTTTTGGCCAGGTGAGAAAACAAGAGAAAACTCTTCTTCAAACCTGTAAAGGCCAGCAAGGAGCTCAAGGCTATGAGGTATTAAGGAAGAAGAGAGGGAGAAGCTGAAGTGTCCAACAAACATCTTTTAAAGCAGGACAGGCACCAGAATATCTGTAACCTCATCATTAAGATCAATATTCTAACAATACAGGGGAAAACCAAAAATTAAACAAAAAATATAACCAAAAAGATCTATCTTGGTTCCAGGAGACTGAGGCAGAAAGACTGCCAATTTGAGGCCAGTCTCAGCAATTAGGGAGACCCTGTCACAATATAAAATGAAAAGTGCTGGGGATATAGCTCAGTGTTAAAGTAACCTCGGGTTTAATCCCTAGTTAATGGTAAAAAAACAAAACAAAGCATCTAATTGTGGCTGGGCTTGTAGCTCAGTTGTAGAGCACTTGCCCAGCATGTGCAAGGCCCTGGTTTCCATGCCCAGCACAGAAAATCAACAAAATAAAACAAAGACTCCTAATTTGATTTCAATGAAAATGCATTATGTTTCCTAAGATAAGATACTGGGAGGAAAAACTGCTTTATGATAAATAGAAAAGTAAAATGGGTACGTATGTGCAGGGGTATGCACGCCTGTTAATTCTATCAACTTGGGAGGCTGAGACAGAAGGATTATAAGTTTGAGGCCAGCCTTAGCAATTTAGCAAGACTTTCAGCAACTTAGTGAGATTCTGTCTCAAAAAGAAAAAAATAAAAAGGATTGAGGCACTGGGTTCGATCCTCAGCACCACATAAAGATAAACAAATAAAATAAAGGCATGCTGTCCTTCTACAACTACAAAAAAATGAAAAAAAAAAAAAGATAATGGGGCTGGGGATGTGGCTGGGGCTGGGGATGTGGCTCAAGCGGTAGCGCGCTCGCCTGGCGTGCGTGCGGCCTGGGTTCGATCCTCAGCACCGCATACAAGCAAAGATGTTGTGTCCGCCAAAAACTAAAAAATAAATATTAAAAAATTCTCTCTCTCTCTAAAAAAAAAAAAAAAAAAAAAAAAAAAAAGATAAAAGAGATTATGTTGAGAGTGCGAGAAATGAATGAGGAATAATGTAAAAGCCAGTGATAAGAGATGTCTGAATAAATGAAACCAATTCAACAATCAATGGGATCACAGGCTGGTGTTGCAAATGTAGTGTTTAGGTCAATTAATAATAATTTTAAAAATTTTTTTTGAGAGAGAGAGAGAGAGAGAGAGAATTTTTTTTTTTAATATTTATTTTTTAGTTTTTGGTGGACACAACATCTTTATTTGTATGTGGTGCTGAGGATCCAACCCGGGCTGCACACATGCCAGGCAAGCGTGCCACCGCTTGAGCCACATCCCAGCCCAATTAATTATTAATCAATATTAAAAACTTTGGAAAAGGAGGCCCTAACCTGATCAACTGATCAACCAAACCATGGTATGTCTGTATGTGTACACTGTTTGACACTCTGCTCACTACCCTTCAAGAAAAAGACTCTGGAGGTTGGGGTTGTGGCTCAGTGGTAGAGTGCTCGCCCAGCATGTGCAAGGCCCTGGCTGGGTTTGATCCTCAGCACCAAATAAAAATAAATAAAYAGAATAAAGATATGTGTCCAACTACAACTAAAAAATAAATATTAAGAAAAAAAATGAAAAAGACTCTGAAGGTTTTGGAGAAAGGTGTTGAGAGCCACAGCCAAAGGGGCCCCAGCAAACTTCCAGCTGCCAGCAAACTTCCAGCTGCCGGCTGATGATTGGCTCACAGTGGCCCCAGCAACATCTAGCTGATTGGCTCCTCTGCGGTGATGTTCATTGTGCTGTTTCCCTGCCCTTCAGACTACCGAACTGCTCATTGGGGGACTTCTTTGGCTCCGCCCACGCGACCCAGCCAATCGGCCTCAAGAGCAGGAGGATTGTGGGAGCTTATTCTTAAAGTTATGAAAGGAAACCATACCTGTTGAAGTGGGAATTCGGCCTTTGCCCTCCCTCTCCATCTCAATCACCCGAAGGCCTCTTTCAACATAGCTCTGGAAGAACTGTGAGGAATTTTTCAGAAATGGTTCAATGTCAGCATCTGAATATTTCTTCTTATATTCATATAACTCTGCTAGACCCTGAAAACAAGAGGTGGGGATGGATATCAATTAGTGCCCCTTTTCCACAAAGCAGATCCTCATTTGGTTTAATATTTCCATTCTCACCTCTTTAGTGTTTTCTTTAGATCCAATCTTCTTAAAAATCTCAGCTAAGAAATCATTCACTTTGGCCTTTGATGCTTTTTCATCCTGAAAAATTGGAAAGATATAAGAAAGGTCGGGTTAGACTTATTAATTAGAAGCCAATGGTTGGATATGAACAGAAAATATCTCAAAGTCTGGACCTTAATGGTATGTTCCTGCAGTTAACAGAGACACCAGCACTGCAGAGTCTGCAGCAGAACACCACTCTGGGTTACAGATGGCTCCATTCCCTGGTTTCCACCTCAACTCGATGAAAGTGGATACCAATTAAATAGAGCTCACAGTGTATTTATCAGTACCACTGCTTTGGGCAGAGGCAAAAAAAAAAAAAAAAAAAAAAAAAACCTTCCTTGAGGACCAAAACACCACATGATTATTAGTTTATATTTTAAAATTTCAAGGTGGAAATGGTTACAGCATCACAACAGGAGACTAATTAGATCAATCCCTCACCTTGAGCCTTCAGTCTCTGGATGACCTAAAATTTAGACCAGATCTTTTCCAGTAAAACCTCATTCCCTCAATCTTTCCTATCAGGCCACTCACTATTCGAGATGCTCCCTTTTCTGTCTCCTTATCAGACTTGCTCCCAGACTGGTCCATACTATGCTTCATCATCCGGCAGAGGTGGGCCTCCAGTTCAGACTCATTCTTGTTGTCAATCATCGTGAGGTGGTCTAAGATCTTAGGGAGAAACAAACATATTCAAATAGAAGTCATGTCCTTTCCATGATGTTCTTTCAAGCACCCTTAGAGATTAGTTGTTATTCTCTCACTCACCTTGGGTCCTTTTAATTTGCATAAGGTGTGTAGCAAGGTTTTTAGGGTCCTTATGGGAAATTCACTTTTGCATTGCTTCAGTTTCTCTTTGGGGAAGACCTTCATGAAAATGTGAATGTCCAGAAGAATTCTGTCCAGGTTAATGCTATTGATAGTGTCAGGCAATAGTCTAACCATTCTCCAGAGACACTATTGAAAAAAGAAGTTAGGAGTGACTAAAGAATGAGGACAATTTTTCATTATTCATCTTTCTCAAGCTCAGGGGTCATATTTAAAAGATGGTCAGGGATATAAATGTGATCATATCCTTCCAGTTCAGTTGCTACAACGTGAAAAATTTTAATCATTTCATCAAGTCATGGAATCAAGTGTGACAAGTCATCCATCTAYTCATCTACCTCCACTTCTCCCTCCCACTCCCCAGAGACAGGGGACATCATTTAATACTATGAAAATGTGGACCTTAGTACCTGAAAATAATTTAAACTCCTTAACTAAATCTAACCCAAGGAGACAAAATATTTTATACTACTGCAGTGTAATAATAGTATTATAATTTTATAGATATGATCATTTGGAGTCTTTTGTGAAAGAGACCAACATATTATAGGGCTATACACATATTATTCCCCCTCAAAGAAATGAAAATTTGTCTCATTAAACTTCTTGCCTTTTGATTCTAGAAAAACTGGTAAAATAGCTATAAAGTAGCTCTTCCTTTTAACTTAGGCCAAGAAATTTTTGGCCTGAGCTTAGTGTATAAATTGGAAGATCAACTATATTTTTTTTATTGGTTTTGGTTGACTCAGCCAATGTCTTAGCTCAAACTTCCTTTCCCCATATGTTAACAAAGTGATTGTGTCTTTTGAAAGAAATCAAATCATTTCAACTTTACCTTCATAACAAGCTCTGAGAATTTGGGAGAACTGGCTGTTGCTAGTAGGCTGTCTTGGAGCAAAACAAGTAGCGCACTAGAAAAACCACCAACACAATAGCATTAGTTAAGTTTCAAAATTCATTCTAATTAAAGTCATTAATCAAAAGGCAATATGTGAATATACTCGAACTGTCTTTTATTACTTGACATTAAAAAAAAWTTTTTTTTTTKGTACCAGGGATTGAACTCAGGGACACTCAACCACTGAGTCACATCCCCAGCCCTATATTGTATTTTTTTAAGTGTCAGGGTCTCACTGAGCTGCTTAGCACCTCGCCATTACTGAGGCTGGCTTTGAACTTGTGATCCTTCCGCCTCAGCCTCCTGAGCTGCTGGGATTACAAGCATGCACGACTGCGCCTGGCTTGACATCCAATTATTAAAAAAAAAAAAAAAAAAGTCATTATTTAAGCTTTCAGCACTCAGTAAAGAGATAATGCTTATCATTCTATTTTTCATGTCATTGGTAGCTGAGAGATATCTACTTGAAATGTACACATTAGCAGATATAACTGACATATTTTATAGTCCTCTTCTAGAAGTTTTCTTCGAGAAAACTCATGGTTGTTACTTGGCTTACTGATTTGATATTAGTTTTAGGGGTTATCCCTGGCTAGAATACCTTTGGTCCACGTGGAAGAAGAGTAATAAAAAAACAAACAACTTATTAAGCAAACCTCAAATTACAACTGATCTAGTGACTTTTTTATTTCTTTCTTTCACTGAGCTATATATCTCCAGCCATTTTTTATTTTGAGATAGGGTACTGCTAAATTGCTCAAGATATTGCCAAGTTGACTTTCTGATTTCTATGTGTAGACTAAAGAGAGGCTGTTCTAGAATCTACTGCTAAAAGTATAAATATACCTCAGGATGTTGGTCTGGTCTGACTTCTCCAGAACCTTTACCACCAAGAGGTTCACAGAGCGGATCACCTGTTGTCCTTCTTCTAGATCTTCAATACGAGAATCCAGCATTAAGGTGATCAGGCCATGCATCAGGTCTTTCAGTACTCCAGTGGAAGCTTCCCGGGCCAGGCTCTCTATCTGAAATAGCTATCCAGTCCTAACTGTGTTAGGGAGGTTAAAACTCAATATTTGGAGCAAAGAAGATAARTGTGGTGGCATATCCTAATAAACATTCAATTATAGTTTCAAAGCTCAGCCTTGAACCATTATATGGAAGTCTTTGATAATAGCCAAAATTTTTTTTTTTKTGTGTGTGTGTGTACTAGAGAGTTAACCTAGGGGTGCTCAAACATGAGCTTCATCCCAGCCCTTTTTCTATATTTTGAGATAGGGTCTTGCTAAGTTGCTTAGGACCTCATTAAATTCCTAAGGCTAGTCTTAAACTTGTGTCTTCCTGCCTCAGTCTCCCACATCTGGCTTATAATAGCATTTTAAAAGACAGCACATTTATCTGTGAAAAGCCAAATAGGGATTATACTGTATGATGGAGAAACTAGCAGGAAGCAGAATTTTGGATAGCAGGTAAACATTCTACTTTATACCCTAATAATAAAGTAAACTGGAATGTATTCCAATACACAATGCAAGTAAGCATCAGTTTGCCATATACCATGTATGGAAAATTATGTCAAATGACTCACTGCAGTACCCGCACTGAGAACCTGGTTTGAGAAACTGGGTGGGAAGAAAAGATCAAAGGGAAGCTCCAATTCTGCAGAGGTGGCTTACCGAAATCATGTTGCCAATGATACAGCTATACAACTTGATGATCTCGTCCTTCTCCAACTTCTCGTCTGCCATATGTGTGTTGTAGATGAGTCTTAACTGCATGAACGTGGCTATCAGGAACTGATCAATGTGGCCAGACATAGCTTCAGCTTTGTCTTCCTGTCTCAGGACCTCATCTATCTGATAATAAAAATTCCAAGATTTATTTTTCATATTTTATACTGAAACCACATAGGACTTCTATAGAGTATATTAACAAAACACTTCCAATATCTTACCTTTCATAAAGCTTTGTGCATAAATATCTAGTCCTAATAGATTCAAACATTCAACATATATTTACTGAGCAAGATACTATTAAGTAAATTAGTTGTGGATCCTATTCTAAAAGGCTCATTGTCTAGTTCAGGAAATAATAATTCCTATGTTTAAATGTTCAACTTATTAAAAGAGTTCTTTTTAGACTCCTTATAGGACTGATATTAGTATCTCCAGTCAAAAATAAAAAGACTGTATAAAGAAATAAAGGCTGGGCATGTAGCCTAGTGGTAGAGTGCTAATCCAGTATGTTGGAAGGGACCCGGGTTAGATTCCAGTGCTAGGGAGGAAAAAAGTAAAAGATTAAAAAAAAAAAAAAAAAAAAAGGAAGAGACCCATTTATGAAAAAAATGAGGCTCAGAAAGCTCAAATTAGTCCAACCTCAAATTTGAGATTTTCCACACCTTGATCCAGTGGGGTTTAGTGTACTGGTAAAATATGTATCTCCTATACACTAGTAGAAGGATAGATTTTTTTAAAAAAGTTATTATATTTTTATACTTTATTTATTTTTATGTGGTGCTGAGGATTGAACCCAGTGCCTCACACATGCTAGGCAAGTGCTCTACCACTGAGCTAGAACCTTAACCCCCACCTTTTTTGCTTTTTATTAGAACTTTATAGTTATATATATATATTGAGCTTTTTTTCTTTTTCTTTTTTTTTTTTTAAAGCGAGAGAGAGAGAGAATTTTTAATATTTATTTTTTAGTTCTCGGCGGACACAACATCTTTGTTGGTATGTGGTGCTGAGGATCGAACCCGGGGCGCATGCATGCCAGGCGAGCGCGCTACCACTTGAGCCATGTCCCCAGCCCCATCTTTTTCTGTTTTTTTTTTTTTTTTTTTTTTTTTTTTTGAGTGCTGGGGATTGAACTCAGGGCCTCAGGCAAACTAAGCACATAAAAATAAATTTAAATAATACCCCAAGGCAACCATGGTAAATCTTCAGTAACCCTCCTTTTGAGTACAACTCCAGTTTGTGTATGTGTGCTACAGTGGGGCCTCCTGGTGTTGTAGAAGCTATGGTCTTACTTTCATTATCTCTTTAAGTATGCAGACCTCATAAGCACAATTTTATGTAACTGGAAATGTTAACAATGATGTTTCAACATGAACACCATAAAAAATATTATATTCTTTTGGGAGACTTACTCCTTCCCATGGTGACTAATATTAARAACCTGGCATATATTATTTCACGTTCACAATATCATATAAAAGTGCACGTATACACATATACAGATAGGATCAAGTTTTYAGGTATTGTTTATTTCATAATAAGATCGTAGCCAGGCATGGTGACACACGTCTGTAATCCCAGCAGCTTGGCAGGCTGAGACAGGAGGACTGAAAATTCAAGGCCAGCCTTGGAAATTTAGCGAGGCCATCAAGCAACCTAGTGAGAACCTTGTTTCAGAATAAAAATAAAAAGGGCTGGGGGAGCTGGGATTGTGGCTCAGTGGTAGAGCACTTGCCTAGCATGTGTGAGGCACTGGGTTCAATTCTCAGCACTGCATATAAATAAATGAATAAAGGTCTATCAATGTTATCAATGTCTAAAAAAATTGAATTAAATTAAAAAAGGAAGGKTGTGTGTGTGTGTATGTGTGCTGGGGTTGTGGCTCAGCAGTAGAGTGCTCGCCTAGCATGTGCAAGGCCCTGGGTTTGATCCTCAGCACCACATAAAAATAAATGAATAATAAAAAAAATAAAATATAAAAAGTAATATAAAAAATAAATGAATAAAATAAAGATATTGTGCCCATCTTAAAAAAAATTTATAAACAAAAAAAGGACAGGGGATGTGGTTCAGTGGTTAAGCACCTCTGGGTTCATTCCCTGGTACCAAAGAGAAAAAATAAAGAAGATTATTGGTTGGGATTGGGGTTTAGCTGTACAGTGCTTACCTAGCACGTGCAAGGCCCTGGGTTTGATCCTCAGCACCACATAAAATAAATGAATAATGGGGCTGGAGTTGTGGCTCAGTGGTAGAGTGCTCGCCTAGCATGCATGAGGCACTGGGTTCAATCCTCAGCACCACATAAAAATATTGTATTCACATAAAACTGAAAAAAAAATGAATAAAAAAGATCTTTTGTCCAACTATAACTAAAAAATAAATATTAAAAAATAAAAATAAAAAGAATAAATATTAGAAACCAGCTATGATGGTGCACACCAAGCCTGTAATCCCAGTGATTTGGGAGGCTGAGGCAGGAGGAATACAAGTTCAAGGTTAGCCTTGGCAAGTTAGTGAGACTGTTTCAAAATAAAAAGGGCTACAGGTGTAGCTCAGTTGTAGAATGCTTACAGTAGATATACTTCTCTGCATCTAGTTTTCTAATTCAAAAGAAAATTATGAAACAACCCTAAAGTTAGTAGGAATAATCTATTTTTAAATGTTGCATAATAACCCACGTATGCATGAACCAAAATTTACTCATTCTTTCTCTTACTAATGAACTTCCAGTGTTTTTACTTTGGCTGTTGTCTAATAAGTATTTTTGTATGTATGTGTGTGTGTGTGTGTGTGTGTGTGTGTGTGTATATGCGCTTATGCGCTTGTGGTTTTATTTCTAAGAAAGTTCAGAGTATAATTTATCTGGGGAATATAATGCTTTTTTTGGGTGCTGGTCCTTGTGCATGCTAAGTAGCTATCATTGAGTTACCCCCTCAGCCCCTATAGTAGGCACTAACAATTCATATTTCTACATTTAACACAAGAGAACTGCTTTTCCAGCATCTTTACAGCTATATGTATTACTACTTTTTGCCAGTTTTATGGTTTAATAGTGATTATCTTATTTTTTTAATAGATTCTTTCTCTCTCTCTTTCTTTCATTCACGGTGCTGAGGATCGAACCCAGGGTCTTGCATGTGCCAGGCGAGCACTCTACCGCTGAGCCACAAACCCAGCCCGTTTTTTATTTTTATAAGCAGCAGCACTTATTTTTAAATTATATAGCGCTTCATGAGTGAATTCTAACCTTATTATTTCCTACTTTAAAATTCCTTCAGATTTTTTTCCCCTAATTTCTATGGTTACTAAATCTTTATTTTAGTCTTTCATGAATAATAAATGCATTTCAGGCAGCATACCTTTCTTGAGTTTTACTTTTTTCCCCCCATTTTGGTACTAGGGATTGAATCTAGGCTGTATCTCCAGTCCTTTTTATGTTTTAATTTTGAGATAGGGTCTTGCTCAATTGTCCAAGCTGGCCTCAAACTTCTGATCTTCCTGCCTAAGCCTCCTGAGACTCTAGGATTACAGGCATATGCCATGCATCTGACAGAATTTTACTTTTCCAGTAGTTTTGCAGTGCATTATTTTCCTATTCACCATCAGAATTTTTATCTATTTATGTATGTATCTATTTTTGTGGTTCTGGGACTTGAACCTAGGGCTTCATTCATGCTAGGCAAGCACTCTACACTCTCCAAATCATAATTATTTTTTATTTTTGAAAATGTTCAGTGGAGATATGGAAAACAAATTATCTTTTCTGAGATTGTAAAGTTCCATGTATGAGTACATATTAAATTAAATCTAGTTTATTATTTTTCTAACATTCTTTTTTAAAAATTGATCCACCAACATTTTCTTAAAACTTTATTCATTTTCTTATAAGTGGTGCTGAGAATCGAACCCAGTGCCTCACACATGCTAGGCAAGTGCTATACTACTGAGCCACAACTCCAGCCCAATATTCTTTTTTTTTTTTAAAAACTGTAGTTTAAATATCATATAGCACAAGGTACAGATCTTAAGAGTACAGCTTAATAACATTCTTCAAGTGTATACATCTGTGTACCTGCCACTGAGAATAAGCTCTAGGACATCTATTACACCAGAAGACCTCTTCCTGACCCTCCAACTTGGTACTGTTCCCTCCACCAGGGTTACTACTATATCTTATTACTTTTCTTACTACTATGCTGACTTCTAAACTGATAAAATTATTCAGATTTCCCTGTATCTTTACTTATTTTTGTCTACTGTATCTAAATCTCTCAATATATAACTTGCATTTCACTTTCTTTTGATGCACAGAAGTTTGAAAAAAATTTTAATGTAGTTAAAATTTTCTATTTTTTTTTTTTTTGTGTAGCTTTAAAGAGATTCTTTCCTCCTACCTTGAAAACAAAGATGTTCTCCTATTAAGTTTTGCTTCTCACATCTAGGTCTTTAATCCATCTGAAATATATTTTGGTGTAGGAAATAGCAAACTAATTATACTGTTGTTCTCATGGAAAATAACTAGTCCCAGCAATATCTACTGATTAATCAGCATTTATGAAGAGATTTTTAATGCCCTCATCCCTTGATCAGGACAGTATCTTAATAACAGTGACTCTATAACCTCTGCTGATACAAGTCTTCTCCATTGTGTTATGTTTTAAAATTGTCTTTATACTTCTTAGGCCCTTCCATCTCCCAGATACATTTTAGAATAATCTTCTCAAATTGCAAACAAACTTTTTGAGATTTTGATAGGAAATGCACTGAATTTATGGAGTAGACAACTGGTATCTTTCTAATCCTGAATCTTGTAAACAGTATATTTCCATCTGGAAATTCTCTAATGTCATTCAATAAAGCTTTACAGTTCTCTGTGAAGGTCTTATATAAATACTGCTTAATTTACTCCCAAGAACTTAGCATCATTATTGTTGACAGTCCAATCTTTTTAAATTTTTATTTTCTTTAGCATAATAATGTGTTTTTTTTTTTAAATGTTTCTTTCTAGCAATACATAACAGTAGAATGCATTTTTTTTTTTTTTTTTGGTTGGGGGCTACCAGGGATTGAACTCAGGGGTACTCAACCACTGAACCTTAGCCCTTTTTTGTATTTTATTTAGAGACAGGATCTTAGTGAGTTGCTTAAGTCCTTGCTAAATTGCTGAGGCTKGTTTTGAACTCACAATCCTCCTGATTCAGCTTCCCTAGCCATTGGAATTATAGGTGTGAGCCACTGTGGCCACTGTGCTTGGCAGTAGAATCCATTTTGACATAATTATAAAAGCATGGAATAGATCTTATTCTAATTCAATCTCCGTACTCTCCCTTCCCCCACCCCCTGGCTCTTCTCCGTCTACTGATCTCATCTTTTTAATATGGGGAGAATTAAATTTCTTTTGGTTTCAGGATTGAACTTAGGGTTGCTTTACCACAGAGCTATATACATGTCCCTTTTCATTTTTTTATTTTGAGACAGGTTCTTGCTAAATTGCAGAGACTGGCCTTGAACTTGTGATCCTCCTGTCTCAGCCTCCCAAATGGATACACCCAGGCTTGATTCATGTTTTAAAAAGTGTAACACACACTTCCCATTCTGTGCCACCCCACACATTATACCCCATACCCAACACATGTGGACATCTTCCTCACCTTTCATGGGTTGGCTCCCTGCATGGACATCCTCTTCAACCTGCTTAGCCTCTGACTCCCAATTCTCTGCCCCCCTTCTTTTAAAGACACCCTCATGGTACTTGGGGTTTGAGATCCTCACACTGGGCCACTATAGCTTCCTATTCTCACCCACTCACCACAACTGTGGGTGTACATCTAGCTCTGCCCTAATAGCTTCAAGATTGGACTATTAGGGAAGGGAAACAGATGAAGAAGAGAACAATTTTTTTAAAACATGTTGCTTCTGTTAGGGATGCAGCACAAGCATAAAGGTGTTTGATTAACACGTATAAGGTGCGCGCACACACACATACATACACACACACACACACACAGTAGTTTCTTTAACATTTTCTAATGGTTTCCCATCATTCGTAAAATCCAAACAACTTACCCTTGGACTTGTCAAGAAAGCCCTATATGAAGTGGTCACCCTCTGCCTCTCAAACCTCATTCTATACCATTATTCTACTCCCTGCACCCTATGCCCATATCTACATGGATCTTCCACAGTTTTCTTGAACACAGAAAGCTCATTCCTACCCTATAGCCTTGTGTACTAGCTGTTCCCTTCATTTGGAATGTTCTTACATCTTACCTGCATATCCTGTTATTAAGACTTTCCCTGATCACTCAATCTAAGAAATTATTCAGTCCCTCCCCCATCACCCTACCTTTACACAACAGTTACTACTACCTGACATCTTCTTGTTGACTTATCTCTGAATACTAAATTCTAAGTAAGTTCCATGACAGCTGGTCTCACTGTGCATAAATGCAATTACAAAAATGCAAGGTTTTATTACAGCTATGTCCTTTGAGGCAAGTGATGACTGAGTGTACTTTTTTCCTCACAAAAGTGACTTGGYTGGGGAGCAATTTATCATTCTCATTACCTGTGAGCATTCCCATTACCTGTGTCAGAGCTTGGATACTTGTGTTGATGTCACCACTGGCTACTTGGGAGATAATGAAATTGATTGTGGATGCTGTATTACTGTGCATATCATCAAAGTGTGGAGAAACAGCTCGGATCCTAGAGAGTAGAACAAAGGGGAAAATTCAATCTCCATTACAAAACATTCCAAAGAGTGGGAATTATGCAATTCCCCTCTAGAACCAGGTTTTAATAAAAAAAAACAAAAAACTGCTATCAGCCAAAGAGTAATCAGTTCTAAGAAGTTTTAACTGCACATTTCCACTGAGGGCTCTTTTCGGATATATCCTCTGATGATCATTAACTGCTTATACTTAAATAAGTTGAACTTACTTGGGTTCAGGAATAAGGACTGGTTCAAAAATGTCATCCAGTTTGTGCTGAACAAGTTCTGGCATTTCACATCGAACTGTACCATTGTCATTCTCAATCTCATCTAGATCCAGCTGGAATTCTCGGCGAACCATTTGGGCTGCCTCAGGATGCCCACTCATGCTTCGGGCTTGGCTAAAGGAAGCAAAAAGAGGCTCCTGAACTAAGACAGACTTCTTAACCACAGGGCAAGAGTACAACTGACAGCTGACTCAAAGCTTCAAGACAGATGTTCAACTTCTGGTTTCAGCCCCCCTGAATGATTGAAGTCCTTGAGTCTAAGAAAGGTACCTTAGGCAATAACACTGCACTGGTTCATGAATGTCCTAAGAGAATAGATAAGTTTAATAGTACTTACATTACCAGCCAAGTTAGAAGTATTATCATTAATTTGCTAAAGTTAACAAAACTTGTACTTAGTTCTATTCCATATGGAACAGAAAATAACGTGTATTTATATGATTCAGACTCACTATGTATGGGCAAAAACAAAAGAAAAATATAGACTAGCTGGTGTTTTTCCACCAAATTAATCAGTGTTTAAGTTTTTCTAATCATAAACATTGCATCAGTCCATGCATACTTTGAAGGACAGTCACCCCTTTTTAAGCATCGTCACTCAACAGGTCATTGGCAGCATTATACCTYAGAAATAGGTATGTGATGTTTCCAAATTCAATTTGGTTAAAATTATACTCATGACACAACCCAAAATAGAGCTGTCTTGCTTTAGAAGGCAGTATTTTGAGTYCCAAGCCAATTCTGGGTTGCATACTTTTTATTTAGCCTTATTTCAAGAACAAGAACCCAAGCACAACTAAATATAACCCAAGGAAAAAGGCAAATCAGTTTTTTAGCCACATTATAGTGAGGTGCCATTTCTGCTATCTACTGGACTTTTATGGCAGGCATGATATTTATGAATACCCTTTTCTCCTGGTTATAAACTCTAAGCCAGTCAGCCTCCAGAGGGGATGAATCCATGTTAGAAGTTAGAAAGATATAAGAGCCCTGCTAATGAAAATTAGCAGGCAGTACTTACATCCTATAAGTGCGATACATAATTCTGTCCACGGAAAAGCAGTGAAAGAAGGCACAAGACCATTTAGAAGTGGTTTTGAGACAAAGACAAAGACAATGAAGACTGAAAGATTAAACATTTGGTTACAAGACATTTATCCAGACACTCTGTCATGCATGATAATGACAAGAACTCAAGATTATGTTACAGGACAAGCTCTGAGCACACAAAGCTAAGTCCATAGAGATGCTCCCAGACAACTATCTCCATCCACATACTTGAGTTTGGAGGACATGTCTTCAGCTGGTCCCTTGCGTAGCATGTTAGCATTGGAGCTTATGTTCTGCATGCGCTGAGGTTTCTCTTCCACCTGTTTCATTGGTGCAGTAGAGGGCCTCTTTGCAGATCGCTTAATCCTCTCCTCAAGCATACTCATATCCTTTTCAGAAAGCTGTGAGACCAAATTTAACTTATTAGCATATCCATCTATAAAAATATGTGGATAATTAAAAACCTAATTAGAAGATTCAAGAATTATGTTGAAGCTACTATGCTAGGATTTTACTTTCAAAAACACTATATCATTAAATAACTGCTATTAATATTTGCCTACCTATAACAAGAGAAATTATAAAAAAAGGAAAGGATACAAAAATAAACTGATAATTACAATTTTTTTTTTTTTAGAGAAGAGACACACATGAATGCATTTTTACTCAAATTTATTTTACAGTGTAATTTTTAATTTCAATATGGGCAATTATTTTTTTTTTTTTAAAGAGAGTGTGAGAGAGAGAATTTTTTTAATATTTATTTTTTAGTTTTTGACGGACACAACATCTTTCTTTGTATGTGGTGCTGAGGATCGAACCTGGGCTGCACGCATGCCAGGAGAGCGCGCTACTGCACTTGAGCCACATCCCCAGCCCCTAATTACAATTTTATTAAGAGTTCAAAACTTAGATGAAGTTTCCTTGTTTTTGTTTTGTTACTACTAACTTGCTGGGTTGATTATGAACAAGAATCTTCATTTCTGGTCATTTATAAAATTCCCACCTGTTTTCTCTCTTTCAACTGGGTGGCAGTAAAGATTTGATTAGATATAAGTAAATTAATTTAAGTGTAGGGTATATAAATGGTGCTAGGATGAGGTAACTGGAGTGAAAAATTGAGTATTAGCCATAGTACTGACTGGCTCAAAGGAAACAAGGAGTTAGAAGCAGAATCTAACGTGTCTGAAAAAGTGGCTTGGTGCTGTAGGCTCAACATGTTTTCTTTTCCTTTTAAGATGGGGTCTTGTGAGTTGGGATTGTGGTTCAGTGGAAGAGCGCTCACCTAGCAGGTGCGAGGTCCTGGGTTCTATCCTCAGCACCATATAAAAATAAATAAAATAAAGGTATTATGTCCAACTTCAATTAAAAAGTAAATATTTTTAAAAACCCATCAAAAACAAAAACAAACAAACAAACAAAAAAAAAAAAAGAAAAGAAAAGAAAAAATATGGGGTCTTGTTATCTTGTTCAGGCTGGCATCAAACTCACAATCCTCCTGCCTGAGCCTCATGAATAGCTAGGAATACTGGCATGCTTTTGATATGACAGGTAACAGTAGATAAAAAGTACTCCCTTGGGAACTATGTAACTAAAAACCAAATGCATTAAAAATTACAGAGCAGATTGCTGYATAGAATTTAAATCCTAGACCAGCTCAGATTTCTTCATGTATAAATAGCTCTTATGTCTAAAGCAAACTGGTACAAATAAAACACTAAGAAAAGAAAATCTGATTTCCAGTAAAACAAAGAATAATTGGCCTTCAATTATTAGAGAATCCTCAATTGTCTATCTGGATTCTAGGATACATTGATGAGTCGAGTTTACTAACAAGTGGAAAAACTTAGGTATAGTTGATACTGTAGGACACTTGGCACCTAAGACACCTTGGAATACTTTTTATAAAATGCTGACACCACCCAGAGAAAAGTCACTCACATTTCCAATCAGTTTGAACACTTGATCTCCATGTACATTGTATACTGTTACAATGGTGTTGAGTGCAGCATTTCGTACAGCATTGTCTCGGTCACCTATGTGAATAGCAATCTCTTTTAAGGCTTTTCCTGGGGTTGGCTGGCAAACATTCATGCCATAAGACTCGACTAGACATCCCAGCTCTTCCAGGCACTCTGTTGGGGAGAAAAAGAACTAGATTACTGAGAATCAATGCACATGTGGCATACAGACTTCTCTGCCTCTTCTCAGTGAAACAATGGTATTATAGAAAGTACTCCTGAAAGAAACGGATGTCTGTGAGTCAGATGGCCCCTGTGCACCTGATTTTGTCACCAGGGTAGTACTGAATGGTGTCTATATCATCTGATACCGACTCCATCAGTGTGCAACTCATCACTCTCACAGTCTAAATCAAAAGGTTGGCATCAACTACAAAGACACTGAAGAAATGTCCTTGTGTGTCCACAAACTATTTCTACAAGGGGGTCACTGTTGTAGACACTCACATCTCAATTTTAGTTGTACAGATTGGTGGTATACCTCAGTGGCAGAGCACTTAACTAGCAAGGCTCTGGGTCTGTTCCTCAGCATAACAAAACAAAACAAAACAAAACAAAACAAAACAAAACAAAAAAAAAACCAGTCTGCTTCACCTGCTCTCTGCTTAGAGTTTTTGGATTTGGTTCCTTCCATGATGAAGGGGAACATCTTGCTGGCTGGGTAGACAAGGCACATCCGATTCAGGATGGCACGAACATCTTTACGAATGACATCCTTTGGTTCTCCAACCTAGTCAACAAGGAAAATAAAGGCTAAGCAAGATCATTCCTTGGCCACATCATGCATTACTGTATCTTGAAAGAGGAAAGGCATGAGGATATAAAAGAAAAAGAAAGAGGGAATAAATGTACAAAAACTGAAGTCAATTGGGAGCTTAAGCAATCTCCCAGGGTGAGAACAACATATTACCTTGAGGATGAGATAGGGAATGAAGGAAGATGCTTCATTCTCAGTAAGATGATATTCCTCCTCACTCAGCAGGGTGAAGAGCAATTTTAAATATTCCAGTGCTTTCATTAGGACGCTTGTATTGGTGTCAAAAAAACGTAGGGTAAGCCATTTTAAGATAAGATCCAGGCAACCAATGACACCTTCTTTTTCACTCTCCAAGTGCTTAAAATAAAACAAAACCCCACAAATGAGACCGTATAAAATTTTAAATTCTATCAGGCAAATACTTTTAAAATTTTATTGCATCCTTAAGAAAAAAAAAGCTAGATTTTTAAGCCTTCAATTAAGACCTAAGAAATAAATTTATTTATTACATAARAACTGAAAACATGGTATATTCTACTTCTTCTTTCCAGGCACTCTGATTATTTTATAGGGCTTAGTATTCTCACATGACTGAGATACATGCACATTTATCTATTGCAGACTTACATCAACCATGACAGCAAGGGCCTTATTGTGATGCTGAAAGTCTGAGTGAAACATCTCATCTTGTAACCATTTAGCTACACAGCTAGACATTTGAGTCTTGAGTTGTTCAATATATTCATCCCGTGGGGTAGTAAAATTCCACTTCAGCACCTGAAAAAAAAAAAATTAAAGAGAGTCTGGATATAAAGTATTCAACTGAAATGAAGTAGAGAGCCTTATTTAAAGCAGCTGCAGGACTCAATAAATTTTGAATATTAAAATTGAAAAAGCACGTACCATTTTTTGGTATCTAATACATATATACATAAAGACCTACATTCAAAGATGTTTATGGCAGCACAGCTTGTAGTTGTCAAAAACCAGAAACAACCTAAAATGTTCAACATAATGGATTGGCGATAAAGAAGATATGCATATATAATGTGCCAATAAAAAGAAGTCACACACAGAATATTTATGATATTTTAAACATCATTAAAAGCAAAAGACATAGAACAAGCAGTACACTCTCTGAGGTGGGAGACAGGAGAGAAAGACATGCTTTTCATAGATACTTTAAAGACTATACTTTGTACTTGTTATATCATTTGAATTTCTGTTTTTAAAAACAATATATAAACTGAGCCGATGCAGAGGTGCACACCACTAATCCCAGTGACTTAAAGGCTAAGCAGGAGGATCATAAGTTCAAGGCCAGCCTTAGCAAATTAATGATGAAGCTCTAAGCAACTTAGTGAAAAAGGGCTGGGGATTAGTTCAGTGGTAGAGCACCAGAGCTTAATTCCCAATACTGTAATAAACAAAAAATTTACATATTTTGGAAAAACAAATCTTAAACACTTAATAAAACCAAAATAATGATTTTTTTTTTTTTTTTTTTTTTTTTTTTGCTTTGTGGAGCTGAGGATCAAACCCAGGGCCTTATGTATGCCCTGTAAGAGATCTACTACTGAGCCCAAGTGAAGTGATTGATCTAATCAAATATATATTTACCAAAAATTCATTTCAAAATACTACATACAGGGACAGGATTGTTGCTCAGTGGTAGAGTGCTTGCCTAGCATGTATGAAGCACTGGGTTTAATCCTTGGCACCCCATTAAAAAAATAAATAAATAAAATAAAGTTATTAAAAAAAAAGACATTACATACAAGAAAGATAAAGAAGCAGTCCATTGCATGTGTTCAATTAATAAAAACAAATGAATACTTATAATGTTTGATTAAAAAAAAGCAAAAGACTACAAAGTTACTTCTACTTAGAGGAAAAACAGGCACTAGGTCCTATAGTACTTTTTGTACCAATTACTGTTCGCGTATAGTAATCTTTGAGAATAAAGTACTATATAAGTAAAAGATTCAGTTAATTATCAGATATTTCAAAATATGAATTTCATTCAGATTGCAAAGCTATTTATAAGTAACAAAATAAAACAAAGATAAGCAAAAAACTCTTCCTTACCTTCAATCCTTTTTCATCTTTCATTCTTTGCTCCTTTCCATTTGAAACAATAATAAAAATAGGCCCAGATTTGTCTTCATCTTCCTTTAAGCTGGTTTTGCTTGGCACTTTCTTTCCTTGTATACCCTACAACCAAAGTTCAGGGAATATTGATTAGTTAGGCCACTTCTACAGAATATGATGTTGCTGCCCATGAAAAGGGCATTTTTACAAAAACCAGAGACATCTCTCTACATTATATTCCAACATGAAAGAAACAGTTGATACAAAATCTTGCACGTAATAAGTTTTTGTACTGTTTTCTTTAGAACTATCAGTTAGCTCTTGAGCTGGCAAGAAATATAGTTGGAAAAGCTATTACCTCTCTTAGTCTGAGTCACAGTCAATTTTTGTTTATTGGATAATTCTTTGCTTTCTTGAAATCTCTGATATTCTTTTATCTTTCATATTAAYGATATTTTGAATGACATTTATACATTTCATATCACTTAGTTGAGAAAGCTCTTTTATTTCTCCCTATATTTATTTAATGTATCTATCAAAACAGCATAACTGGACCCCCTTTGAACCTTCTCCTAAAGTTGGTAGAAACACTTTAATGCTTATTCACTAATGTAGTTTTTAAGATTTAGAATTCAAGATTTAGAATCTTTGTATCAGGTGAAAAGAAAATAGTGGGTTACAGTACATATAATTMAGGCAAAATTCAAATTTCATTACTGGAATTATTATTAGTATAAATGTAGCAAGAATTTACTATTTCTAGTTGGCCAGAATTTCTTTCTAGTCCAAACATTGAAGTCATTAATCAAAACAAATAAGAGATTGCTTATGTAAAATTGTTTGTAAACTGCAAAGACAGGAAAAAAAATTATGGCACTTAGAACAGAGTCAAAAATACTTCAATGCACTTGTGATCAAAATACTAAAATAAGCACTTGCTCATTTTAGGATAAGGAAGGAAGGACAGGAACAGAACAACTTCAGTGCATAGTTTAGAAGATAATTACCCATTTAAATAACTCAAAGCTAAAGGACCCAAGCAGAGGGAAGAAAAATGGACAACTGTAATATATTTAAAGAAAGACTAGAAAGTATCTATCTACTCTATGATGGGATTATAATAATAAGAGTACTGAGTAATATCTTATAATTTTTCATCCATTGCATATAGTTAATGAAACTGTTTTCTTCATTTAGATTTACAACTATTATACACTTCTATAATTTTCCTTTTGTAAGTATTAAATAATCAACAGTCTGAATGCAATGAACAGCTCAGAACTTTGATAAAAGTAACTGATAATTTGCTATGATTCAAAAATTAAATGAAAAAATTACCTGGGGCTTAGTTAAAAAATGAAACCCAAGAATGTATTTCTTTAAATCATCCAACTCTGCATGGTTATTGAAAAAATTAGTGATTCAAGTCCCACTGGCATAAGGACAAAAGGTATTTCTTCTAGACTATCAGAACACCTTCTAGTATTATGACTTAACTGAGCCAAATTGGAAGAGAGCTGATTACTATTCTTCTCGCAAATCCGTATCAGTCTAAAGTGACCATTCTGCATATGCTTCCTTCTCTTTTCACTACTGCAAATCTTCCCTAGAGATCTGTATAACAGGAACCATGAGAGCAGGGTATCTGTTGTGTGTGGGGGGGTCTTACTAAAATGGACTGGAAACATAGCTCAATGATATAGTGTTCCTGGGTTCAATCTCAAATACTTAAAAAAAAAGTAGTGATGTTCTATATACAATATAATCTTTCCTAATAGAATGACAATGCAATGTGTAAAACAAATGCAAGAGCAAATCTACATCTAAGTACGCTGAGTTTACACACCTTTACTTTAGAGGAAACCCCTGGAGCTTTGGCCTTTCTTGGATCAGGTTTAGCTTCTATGGTGCTGGAAACAGAATCTTCAACAGGTGCTTTGAGAAAGAAAGCATGTAAGATAAGGGTAAATTCTAATAATAACCCTTTTTATTTTGGGAAGGTTATACTATGATAATAAGAAAACCAACCAGCAGTCTTAAACAAATCAATTTATAAGGTATTTTCAGTTAGATTTTTTTTTTTAACTAGTCTTTTTTCTCCCCAAATTCCTATTTTAGCATAACCTTAAAAAAGTAATTCAGGCAGGGCACAGTGGCACATGCTTGTAATTCCAGAGTCTCAAGAGGTTGAGACAGCAGAATCGAAAGTTTGAGGACAGCCTGGGCAACTTAACAAGACCCTCTCTCAAAATAAAAAACAAAAAAAAGTGATGGGATGTAGTGCAGTGGGACAAAGTGTTCAATCCTCAGTATTGGGGGTATAGGAAGAAAAAAGAAAATTCAGAAAGTCTACATCTCCTTTAACAACATTTAAATGGCAGTTTTAGCCAGGTGCAGTGGTGCATGACTGTTATTCTAGTATCTAGGGAGTCTGAGGCAGGACCAGTGCAAGGTGGAGGCCAGCCTCAGCAACTGTAAGAGCCTACATCAAAATAAAAATTAAAAGGATTGGGGATGTATCTCAGTGGTAAAGCACCTCAGGCTTCAATCTTCAATATCAAAAACAAAAAACTCCTGTAGTTTTAAAATTATCTTCAAATAAGGATTAAAAATCACTTTTTGTCAGATTAGTACTGCCTTAATTGTAGTGTCTGTCATCTCTGAAACTGATTACCTGGGACAATGAAATTGAGATTCATTATCTTATACGTAGTAATTCCAATAAATGTTAAAACTGAATATGTATGTTAATATGAAGAGTTTTACAGATGCAAAATTTCTAACTTTATAGCACCAATAAKTTTTAACCTGCTAAATAGAATATTTTTATGTTTAATCAAGAAGTCTTTTTAAAAAAATATTTTTTTAGTTATACATGGGCACAAAATCTTTATTTTGTTTATTTATTTTTATGTGGTTCTGAGGCTCGAACCTCACATACACAAGGCAAGAGTTCTCTCACTGAGCCACAACCCCAGCCCAACAAGAAGTCTTAAAATGAAGTGATTATACATTACAGAATTTTAACATAGGAATGAAGAAATTGAGAATATTCCTTTAAACATTAGTAGGGACTGGAACAAAGTTCAGTGGTTGTGTGTACTTTGTATGTACAAAGCCCTAGGTTCAAACCCCAGCACATGCGCGCACACACAAAATAGTAAATATTTGAATGGATTAGTAAAAAAAGCAGGTAGCCAAGTGTGGTAAAAGGAGAACTCATTTGTGACTTAAGTAGAATTTTAAGTTGGCTTAGGCACTGGCTATTTATCCTTATGCAAGTCACTAACCTCTTTTGAGTTTCCTCATCTGCTAATAAAGTGGTTTAACTAGATGTTCCCAATTTCTACTCTAACTGGAATAAACAATGTTAGAAAACAGTTGTAGAAATCTTAAAAACAGCATGGAATAYTTTGAGAATTACCCTTGGAAACCAAATTAATCACTGTCATAACCTTAGCACAATTCCTGGCTCAATAAAAGGATGAAAACTGGATATCTTTTAGAGTTTCCTTAGGTTATTTCCTTTCCCTTCAACCTTCTCAAAACAGAGTTACCTGATGTAGGCTGGAATTTGGCTGGAGCTGACCCTCCCATTGGTTTGGATGTTGCTTTAGCAGGAGCAGCAGGCTTGGCTGGCATGTTAGCTTTGGCTTTCTCTAGCATGGCCAATACTTGATCTTTAGAAGTTGGCTACAGAGACAATGTAACATAAGTGAGAGGTAACATAAATGGTATACTCATACTAAGCTTACTAACAGATATGCTGTCAAATGACTGAGCTGCTAGCTTTGAAATACCAATGAAGGGAGGCAGCACTCAGTGCAAGAGAAACAATACACATTATGAAGTCACACTCAAGTTGCTATCATTCTGGAAGGTCATAGTTTTCACCCTGTAGGGCTGGTAGACTCTCAGAAATTCTACAATGCTAATTATYTTATTTTTGCTCTCATTAGGATTTCAAACTGAGTCTCATAGTAGGTAAATATGATACTTTGCTTATATAAATTCATGTTCAATAGTTTACTAATGKCTTTTACAGCAGCAGCAAGTGGTACCTTTAGTTTCCCAGTAGCCTTAGCCATTTTTTCATATCCTAAGTGCATCATAAAGAATGGCAAAGCATCTTGGGCCTTCTTTCGAACATCTCCATTTCGATCTTCYAGGCAGGAGTAAAGATGAGGAACACAAAGGATAAGGTCTGTGGGGGTGGAACGAAGAGTAGGTAGTTTCTCAGCCAGCCAGCCCAGAAGCTGCCAAAAGAAAGAAAGATTAATCACACTTCAAATGGAAAATTGTTATTATTTGTGATCTCAGGCTTAATGATTTCATTAGTTAACAACACTGAATTAATTCTTATGCTACAACTTTCCAATATGAAATTAGTATTTTTTATTGCTCAAGAACATTGTTATGTTGCTGGGTGCCACAATGCATGCTTGTAATTTTGGCAACTCAGCAGGCTGAGGCAGGAGGGTTGAAAATTTGAGGGCAGCTTTAGCAACTTAGTGAAGCCTAACCGAGTTAGCAAAATCCTTTTTCTTTTCTTTTCTCTGGTAGTGGGAATTAAATCCAGAGGTGCTTTACCACTGAGCCACATCCCTATAAGGCCTAAATTTTTGAGGCTGAACTTGAACTTGTGATCCTCCTGCCATAGCCTCCTGAGTTGCTGGGATTATCAGCGTTTACCACCATCCTCTGTTTAGCAAAGTTCTGTCTCAAAACAAAAAATAAGGATGTAGACCATTGGTAAAGTATCCGTGGGTACAATACCCATACAAAAATCAAAACCAAAAACACTTGTGTTACATTAAAATAATACGTGCAATGATGACAATCATCTTTAAGATAAGGACATAGGATCATCTTTGGGCATTACATTATAAAGTTTTAATAGTTTTTTTTTTTTTTTTTTTTAAATGGTACAGCAGTAACCCAGAGTATTCTACCACTTGTTTTTATTTTGAAATTGGGTCTTATTAAGTTGCCAAGGCTGGCTTCAAACTTGTGATCCTCCTACCTTAGCCTCCCAAAYCACTGGGATTATAGGCATGTGTCACGGTACCCGGTTCTAAATATATTTTAGGTGACTTTGGGATTGAACCAGAACTTTGTATATGATAAGCAATTGCTCTACCATTAAGTCACGTCCCCAGCCTCCTTAATATATTTTAAAGATGAAAAACTTTCACTTACCTCCTTTAAGTTCTAAAAAATATTTAAAGACCCCAAACATTTATTTGATCAGATGACAAATTCTATTAAGACTTCTATTTTATGAAATTTTTGTATATATATATAAATATATATATTTTATATAATTTTTCTATACTCCTAAAATAACTCACATCTCTATTTTTTCACTGAAATTTTTATTAATTACAGATTCACTTGCAATTATAAGAACACATAAAGATCCCAATTTCCTTCATTTATAACACATTACAAATGTATACTACAATATCACAACCAGGCTATTGATACTGATACAATTCACTGATCTTATTTTACTTGTACTCTTTTGTATATGAATATTTATTTTTCTTCCATATTACTATGTATATGTTAATATATCTGCCATCACAGTGAGGATTTTGAATAGTTACAATCAAAAGGATTTCTTGAGCTGAACTTTTCTAACCACATCCCCTTTCCTGGYAACCACTATTCTGCATTTCCAAAATTCTGTCATTTTAAATGTGCTATATAGGACTGGGGTTATATAGCTCAGTGATAGAGAACTTGCCTAGCATTCACAGGGTTGGAAGTTTAATCCCAATATGGCAAATAATCAAAAGCAAAATAAAATAAAACCTAAATGAGTTATGAAAATAGAATCAAATAGTTTTAACTATTTGGGTTTGGTTTTGTTGTAYAGCAAAATTCCTTCTGGCAAAATAGTGTTCCATGTATGAATGTTCAATAGTTGAAATCACCTGCTATAGGATATCTGAGTTGTTCTAAGTTTTGGCCATTTTGCAGTCAAATGTTATATCCCTTAGCTAAACCCGCAGTTTTAAACTCTTATTAAGGAAGCTACTATGAATATTTATATTTCCACAAGCAAAATAAGAGTGATCACAATTCTCCCACATGGTTGCCAGTATTTGGTGTTACCACTRTTTTTTAACTTAACAATTTTGATAATTGTGTAGTGATACTTCACTATAGTTTTTTGTTTTGTTTTGGGGTACCAGGTAGTGAACTCAGGAGCACTCAACCACTGAGCCACATCCCCAGTCCTATTTTGTATTATGTTAAAGATAGGGTCTCACTGAGTTGCGTAGTGCCTCACTTTTGCCAAGGCTGGCTTTGAAATTTCAATCCTCCTGCCTCAGTATCCCCCCAACCCAGAGCTGCTGAGATTACAGGTGTGCGCCATGGCGCCTATCACCTCATTTTAGTTTCTTTTTTTTTTTTTTAATCTTTATTTTATTTATTTTTAAGTTTTTTATGTGGTTCTGAGGATTAAACCCAGGGCCTTGAACATGCTAGGTGAGTGCTCTACCTCTGAGCCACAATTCCAGCCCCTTAGTTTTTTTCTTTTCAAAAATAAAAAAATTTATTTTTTAGTTGTGGTTGGGCATAATACCTTTATTTTATTTATTTAGTTTTATGTGGTACTGAGGATTGAACCCRGGGTCTCGCACATGCTCTAYTGATGAGCCACATCCCCATTGTAGTTTTAATCTTCAATTCTCTAATAACTAATAATGTCGAACATCTTTCAGGGGATAATTTGGCATTTACAAATCCTCTTCAGTGAAATGTATGTTCATGTCTTTTGCCCATTTTCTAATGAATTTATTTATGTATTCTGGTGGTGGTGCTGGGAATGGAACCCATGTATGACAGGCAAGTGAGCTACATTGCCAGTATCCTCACTTCTCCTTTTTAAACTGCTGACTTTTTAGAATTCTTTACATAGTTTAGATATTAGTTCTTTTGTTTTGGTACCAGAGATTGAACTCAGTGGCACCTTCCACTGAGCAACATCCCTCCCCCTACTKTGTATTTTATTTAGAGACAGGGTCTTACTGAGTTGCTTAGTGTCTTTGCTTTTTGCTAGGCAAGAACTGTACTACTGACCTATATCCCTAGTCCAAAAAGTTTTAAATTTTGATGTAGTGCAATATATTAATTTTTCTTATTATGGATTATGGTTTTAATTACAAATCTAAGAATTTATTTTTTTTTTGGTGGTCCTGGGGATTGAACCTAGGGCCTTGTCCATGCGAGGCAAGCACTGGACCAACTAAGAATTTCTTGCCAACCTTACATTATGATTTTCTATGTTATCTTTTAATAATCTTGTTATTTTTATTGTATGTCATCTTTCTGTAGTCTTGACAGGTGCAGTGTTGCACATCTGTAATCCCAGTGACTTGAAAGGCTGATGCAAGAGAATTACAAGTTCAAGGTCAGCCTCAGCAACTTTTCGAGAACCTCAGCAACTTAGCAAGACCCTGTCTCAAAATAAGAAAAGGAGAAGGAAATATATCTGAGTGGATAAAGCCCTTCAATCTCAAGTACAAAAAAAAAAGTTTCAGTCCAATGTTTTACATTTAAATCCATGATCTGTTTTAATTTTTGTGTAAGATATGAGGTTTAGGTCAAGGTTTAATTTCTTTTGTCTATGAATATCTTATTGTTGCAGAACAATTTGTTGAATAGGCTACCTTTTCCTCCACTGATTCACTTTTACAATTTTGTGAAAAATTAGTTGAATAGTGGGTGTGTTTGTTCATGCCTGCAATTCCATCGATGGGAGGCTGAAAGGCACGAGGATAACAAGTTCAAGGCTAGCCTTGTCAACTTGGGGAGACCCTGTCTCAAAATTTAAAAAAAGGGCTGAGGATGAAGCTCAGTGATGAGATCCTGGGTTTGATCCACAGTGCCAGGAAACAAAAATGTGGTTCAATTCTGGGCTTTCTCTCCCACTCCACTGGTTTTTATTTTTATCTCTACCCTGTCTTCCTGTCACTGATACCACAGTGAATTGACAAGGTAAGCAATAAAGTAAACCTTAACATATGTAGAGTGATTTTTTCCTACTGTTTTCTTATGAAAACTGTTTTGGATATTTAAGAGCCTCTGCTTTTCTATATAAATTTTAGAATAAGCTTGCCTCTCTCTATTAAAAAAAAAAACTTCCTTGAATTTTTACAGGACATACATTAAATTTGTTGATCAATTTAATGAGAAGTGATATATCAAACTGTGTTGAGTCATTGTAAGAGTTGACATCTTTATCTTGTTCCTAATCTTTAGGGCAAAGTATTAAGTCTTCTGCCAGTGACTATGATGTTATCTGTAAAGGTTTTTGTAGGTACTCTTAATGAAGTTGAAATAATTCTATTACTAACTTGAATTTTTTTAATAATAAGTATTGGATTTACCAATAAGCATCAACTGATAAGATTATATGACTTTTCTTTATTCTGTTAGCATGATGGATTATACTTTTGGATTTTTGAATGCTAAACTCTATTTTTAAAAAATATTTATTTTTTAGTTGTAGTTGGACACAATATATTTATTCTATTTATTTATTTTTATTTGGTGCTGATGATCGAACCCAGGGCCTCGAATGGCTAGGCGAGCGCTCTACCACTGAGCTACCTAAACTCTATTTTACCCCAGTCCTAAACTCTATTTTTATACTCTGATTAACACCTCTGATTTGGGGTGGGTGTGGTGGTGCACAATTGTAATCCCAATGGCTCAGGAGGCTGAGGCAGGAGGATCACCAGTTCAAAGCCAGCCTCAACAAAAGCAAGGTGCTAAGCAACTCAGTGAGACCCTGTCTCTAAATAAAATACAAAATAGGGCTGGGGATGTGGCTCAGTGGTCT